TAAGACGACGGTGCAGCGTGACTGATAGCCCTCGGCATCTTTCTGGGTGCTTGGCAGCAAATATGCTGGGCGGTGTATGACGATGGTCTTCAGGCCTATTGCACAATCGGCTGCTCGGGGAAGACTCTGCTAATGTGCGATGACCCGACTTGTAATAGGATGGTTAACAGTTGTAATATACCATCTACTGCCAAAAGGCAAGCCCCACGGCTGCCAGCACCCAGATCGCCGATGAAGGCTACCAGTCTACTGCACCGTCTACCGCCAAAAGGCAGTTAGCAGCTGCTGCGTAACAATGCAGTCCCACGTCTGCCGGCACCCAGAGGACATATGGTGACTGTGAGCTCAGCTGAGCTGAGCGGGCTCCATGTTGTCTGCACAGGTAACCCAGGTAAAAAGGCGCGAATCTATTGTCTGCCGTTGCTGTGACGGGGGAGGGAGGGGCCTGACGACATGTACCCAGAACCGCCCGCGACACTGTTTTGCATCATCCGGGCATTGGGATCTCAACCCAGAATCCCAAGGGGCGGCGGAGACTGCGGGAACTGTGGGATAGCTGTGGGATAGCTACCCATAGTGCAATGCTCCGGAAGTCGACGCTAGCCTCGTACTGTGGACGCGGTCCGCCGACTAGAGCACCTAGAGCATTTTATGTGGGGACACACACAATCGGCTGTATACAACCGGTTTCAATGAAACCGGCTTCTATAAATTCGAACTAATTTCGTAGTGTAGACATACCCTTAGGGTATTTCTATAGGAAACAGAGCTTCCTTAACCTCAAGATGGAGGACCAAAAGTTTTCAAGCTTCAGCTAAGTAAGTGTGTAACATTGTATTAGGGAGAAGTTCTCCACATTTAAACTTGCAACTACAGTTCCATGATTAGGTTGATTTGATTGATTGTAATTCTAAATTTAATTACACAAAGAAATTAAAAAAAAAAAACACACAAAAAACCCAACAACTTGGCAAGTTCCAAATAAAAAACAAAACAAAACAAAAAAACCACTGTTTTAGAAATCAGTTAAGGTTGCTGAGTGATGCCAATGTACTTTTAATGTACCTATCTCACCGCTAACAAACCCAAATGCTGAAGACAATAAATGAATGGTTTGACATCATAAATCTTACACTGTCCACATAATAAAATTATTCTTACCAAGTATAAAGCAATGTATAATTTTTCAAAATACAACTTTAAATCTAGCCCAAAATGAATACTATTCTTTCACCAGAAAATGATAAAGATGTAGAAGATAAGTCTTGCATTGGAATACAGGAAATGGGAAAACAATAACCAAACCATTACTTTTTCACATACTATAAACAAGGGGTAGGCAACCTATGGCATGCGTGCCGAAGGAGGCACGCGAGCTGATTTCACTGCTCTACAGCCAAAATGCTTCTGAAATAAATATAGTCAAACTTTACTAATTCTGGGTCACTGAGAACGAAAATGATGCTTAAAATTGTTGATTGGCTCTAGTTTTCAAGATATGCTATTGGGTCAGTATATACGACCCTTGACTTGGGAATGGCGGAGGATAAGTGAGTTATAAAGGGAAGGGATCTCAATTTAAACCAGAAATGATTAAAATACATCTTTGAC